TTGCATTTTACAAGGCAAAGGAAATACGAGACAGACGTAAGATACATTTTATTGTCTCTGTTGTGCATGGGACTGCATTCCAGAGGAAATGGGGGTCCAAAGTTTGGAATTCACAGAGTCTTGTCAGGGGTGAGCTTACTGTAGACACTCCTGACTTTTCCTGGAGCTGAGTCAAAGCAGCGAAGGTCTTGGCATTTCCTAAAAGCAGGGCTCCAGGCCAGGCAGGCATTTCCTTCCCCACCCCCCGGCTTTACTGAGCCGTAATCAAAACTAAAATTGTATGTATTTAGAGGGCTTGTTCTAGATCTGTGAAATACACGGTTGGTATTTTAATAGGGATTGCACTGAATCTATAGATTCCTTTGGGTAGTATGAATATTTTAATGATGTTGATTGTACCAATCCATGAACACGGTATGTTCTTCCATTTGTTTATATCTTCCTCTATCTCTTTTTTTCAACATCCTGAAGTGTTCCCAGTACAGGTCTTTTACCTCCTTGGTTAAGTTTATTCCTAAGTTTACTCCAAAGTATCTTGATTTTTTGTTGTTGTTGCATTGGTAAATGGGACGGATTTTTTAGTTTTTCTTTCTGGAAGCTCATTATTGGTATATAAAAATGCCATCGATTTCTGTGTGTGAATTTTGTATCCTGCTCCATTGCTGAATTCGTTCATTTAAAGTGCACTGGTTAGGGGCAACTTGATGTTTTGGTAAACTTATGCAGTGTGAGTCAATTGCCACAACCACGCTAATGAACACACGCACCACCTCATGTAGTTATCGTCTCCTTTGTTTTTCTTTATGTGTGCCTATAGGGTGAGAATATTTCAGACCTCCCCTCTCTGCAAATATCACCTGCTTTTCCTTTAAGGACTTCCAGCCCTGGAAGCTGCCTTGTCACCAACACCCTCCTTCCCTTTGGAAACAGGATCCCTCTGGTTTCAGGTCCCCTTTCTGAACTGAGTCCATCTTTTCTTTGACATGTGAATATTTCATGTCTTCGGTGAGCATCAGGGTTCCTACTGGTCTTTTGCAGAAGGCACAGCTCTTACAAAATTTGAATCCCCATATTAATATTGTTGACCTAGGAAGTCAAAGATGCATCTGAGTGGAAAACAAATGTCCTTTTCTTGAACATATCTGCCGTAAATGTGGCCGGTGGTATTCAGTAACATCACAAAACAAATACATTGGTTTCCAATGAGGCAAAAGGGTGTTTCCCCATTAACCACCCCCCACAGGAAGAAAAGCAGACCCAATCAATTATTTTGGTTAAACCCAATATGTGAAAATCTGCTTTTTCACAAACTGTAGAAATAGTGCCTACAGCTTGAACTGAGCAAACAGACACCTTCTATTCTAAGAATGAGTTCTGCTCCCTTTCTCTGCCATTCGGTCATCCTACCGGGCTTCCCAAAGCTGAAATATCTCAGAAGTCTCTTATTTCATTGGCACGTGGACTCTCAAAATATATTTGACATTTTCATTTCCATCTTCTATTTAAATTAGGTCAACATTGGTTGACTGCCTGTGGCAGCATTTTTATTAAGCTCACAAATGCTAGATTTATATGTTCCAAATCTAGTTGATGGAATTCTGATGTCTGTTAATTGGAAGATGCTGGATAAGTTACTTAGCCACCTGGAGCCTCAGTATCCTAGTCAGTAAAATGGGAATAAGAAGAAGTACAAAAGGATCTAACTCAGAGAATTGCTGGGATGAATCAAGGGTATATTTATAAAGACCTTAAAGGAGGGTTTCACCCTTCAGGAGAGATTCATGGGGAGAGGTGAGACACAAATGGGTAAGCAGATCCTTGTAAGGAGGGCCATTCTATAAGTACACAGAACAGACTATTGTACAACAGAGAAGGAAGTCAATTTCACTGGGGGGATCAGGAGAAGCTTCCTGCAGAGGACACTGCTAAGGCTTTGAAGGATGAGGTGGGTGGTGTTTGGGGGGAGGAAAATGGAGAAGGGTCTGGGTACAAAAGGCAGCAAGATGGCAAAATCCTGTCCCGGATCAGAGTAGAGCCCCGGCCATAATAAAGCAGGAATAAAGGGAAGCCTGATGAGAAGTCCATGCGGCCTCAAAGCAGTGTGTTGGCATCTCTCCTTCTAAGTGATCATCACTTGGAGGTTTGTATGTTCCCCAAAGCCTCTGAATATGTGTGCTGAGCCCAGGCTGTCATTTAAAAAGCAGAATGAGTTGGGGGCTGAATGGCACTGTGTCATCCCAAGAAGAAGAATAACATGTGAATCTAACTGTGTCATCCATGCTCTTACTGTAAAACAACTTGTTCTAACAACACCAACAGCAAAGGAGAGCTCAGAGGTCAGCTGACCAGATGCAGCGCTTCCTCCCTGACACATTCGTTTCAACCTCTGATTCATGAAACCCTCTGAGTTTCTTTCTGTGGCATGCTCCGCTTCTCCACCAGCCTGACTCATTTCATCTGATTGGGTCCAATCTCCCCCTCCTTGGCACGCCTCCTGCTGCTGCTGAATAAATAAATCATCCTGGGATGTGTCCAGGAGGAAGATTCTCATAGGAAAGTTCCATCTGCAGTCCGCCCCTCGTGTGTTCAGGCTGGGTTCTCAGGCGCCCAAGGAGGAAGAATTGGGGAAATAAAGAGGTGTCTTCCTCTGCCAAGTGGACAAATATGGTCATTAGCACAGGCAACCTGGGGCTATGCCCACAGAGAGAGAACACAGCTCCACACACACCTCCTCTGGGGTCTGCAGGAACCCGCCTCCCTCCCTTCCCAGCCCGAGGCCCAGTCTGCTGTCGCTCCTCTAGTTAAGAAACTTCCTACCCATCTGAGTGTCAGTACAGCTGGCGAGGCTGATGGGTCCATGGAATTTAGGGAAGAAAGACGCAAGCTGCATCCCTTCTCAGGTATGTCATTCCTGGGATGGCTTCATTAAGATCTAGGTAACTACAAAACAGAGTCATTGTTGTTGTTGTTTTGCGGGGAGGGGGGACGCAGGGAGAGAGAGGGGCTTTGGCCCTAACTTCCGGCCCCATTGGATAGGCCAGCTACTCTGGGAGACCTTTACAGTTAAATTAATTAATCTAACTGGGTTAAAAATAGAATCACCATTCCTTCTACTTAAAATTGAGTGTTTACTATGGTTGCCTTTCTTGGGGATGGGAGAATACACCTCTAAGGGACTAGTGTCCAAGGGGTCATTCCCAGGATGTGTTCATCCAGAAATCTACTGGTCGGGGATGTGGAAAAACGTTACAGGCTTCTTCCCGCTTCTGGGATTCTCCGTGTTAAGGCCCGTGTTGCGTGTAAACCAAAATCACGTGCGTGGAAAAGGAAGCATTAACAAGGAAAGAATTTCTGGGACACGGTGGCACGAATATACGTAGCTGGCCACCAAGAGCTAATCTTGCCCTAAGCAGTCGGAGGGACGGAGCCTCTCTAGGCCGGGGCAGGGGACATCGCTCGCTCGCTCCGAGGGCAGAGGGGCGGCGGGCGAGGCGGGTCATTTAGGCTTCACGAGAGCGCGAAAGCGCCCAGAGCCTGACGTCATCGGCCATCAGCTGACTGTGCTCAGGGCCCGGGCTCCGCCGCCTGCAGCCGCAGCCGCAGAAGTGGCGGCCACCACGGCTGGGCCACATTCAGCCGCGGCTCGGGTCTGCGGCGGCCGCACTAGCCCTGGGACTCGGCACCTGGGGCGCCGCTCTGCAGGCGCGGACGCAGACACCGGGCGCCCCCGGCGGCACCGCGGTCCCTCGGAGCATCCCAGGGGTTTTGCCCACAGCCCGGCGCCTGAGCCCAGCGGGCGGGAAAGCGGGCGCTGGAAACGCCTTCCTGCGTCCTCCTCCGGGCCCCCTCCCGGGCCCAGGGAGAGCCTCGGCGGGCCAGGCGCTCGGGGGCGCGCCTTGCAACGCCCGGGATCGGTGGAGTAAAAACTCCGCCGGAAGCTGCCCGCCGCTACAATTTCGGCTTCTTGGGGTTTTGTGCTTTCGAGCCCGAAAGTTGGCTTCACCCACAGCCCCGTGGGAAGGGCGGAACGGAGACCCTCAATTCCGCGCGCCGGGCTCTCGGAGTCCGTGGGCAAAGGGCCTGCGCGTCCCGGCTGCGCACCTGCGGGGGCCCGGAGCCTTCAAAAGCACCGCGGAGCCCGCCCGCACCGCCAGCCGGAGCGCGGGACCCGCGGAGGGGGTCCGGCTGGGGCGCCACCGCCCGCCCCGGCCCGCAGCTGCCGCCTTCCAGACCTGGGGCGTCCGGGAAGATCGGGGTGCCAGGTCCCTGCCGCCCCCTCCCCTCCCCCCAAGTTCCGGGGGCGTGGCTTGGCGCGAGGCGGGGGGAGTCTCCTCGGGTGTCTGAGCAATCTGACAGGTCTCCCAATTCCTGCCGCCGCCGGCGCCCACCGCGCGCTCCGCTCCTCGGCGGGTCCCTGGATCTGGAGGCATCTCCGTGACTGCCCCGCGGCCTCGGGCTTCCCTTCTCGCCCGAACCTTACGCCGCAGCACCCACTCGGCCTCGGTTCTGGCCTTGGATTCGCACGGATGACTTCTCTCCGTTCTCCGGGCGGCTGGCTTTGGGGCCCTCCCCACTTTTTCCGGCCCCCGCCTCCCGCTGCTCCGGGCTCCGGGCCGAATGGACTCCAGAGAGCGCAGTGAAGGGCATGGGAACCGTGAGCTGCGCCTCGTCGCAAGCACAGCTGGCGGGGTGGACCTCGTCTTATTGCCGCGACTGGGACCCTGAGACCCTCCCCGCGCCCGGATGGATGCGTGGGGCCGGAGCCAGCCCTGCTCCGTCAGTCCTCGCTCAGGAAGTAGAGGCAGCCAGAAACGATGAGCCCAGAAGGGAGACTCAGCACACCCCCTCCTCCAAATTAACTGTTTGGTGACTTGTTAGCGCGGAGGCTTCCACCTCTCCAACCCGCCAGCCGGCACCCAGTCCTCCCCCCTTCGTTGCCCCCGCCCCCGGCTCCGCCCCGGCTCCCCAGCCCCGCGAAATGGAGTTCTCCGAAGGGCTCTGTTCCAGCCACAGCTGCTAACTTCGCACCCGTCGCCTCTGCCGGTCACCCTAGGCCAGCCCCCCTCAACCACCCGGCCGTGGGCGTCCCGAGCCCGGTGCCGCAGCCAGGACCCGCCTGGCGCGCAGCAGAAGCGCGGCGCCCGGGAGCCTCTTGGAGAGCAAAGGCTGCGCCAAGACAGGGAGCCGAGAACCGGCCTAGAAGCCCAAGCCCGAGCCCGGGAAGGGGGCTGCGTGGCCCAGAGCCCCGCGGCTTCTGCGGACGAATAGCCGCCGCTGCCGCTCACCCAAGCTGCGCGGGTCGGCGGGAGGGCGGTGCGCCAGGACGCGGGGGTCGGTGGCGATCTTCCAGGCGCCCTTGGCCCCGGGCGCACTATGACCTGACCTGCAGGGGGCCTCCTGCTCCGGACTCCTGCCGCCACCGGGCGGCCGGGACCAAGGGCTCCACGCCAAGCTCCTACGAAGCCGCCTTCGGGTCTTCAGGAGCCCCCTCCCCCAGCCACCTCCCTCGGGCTCTGCGCCTCCTCCCTGCGGCCCGGCGTCATGGAGCTCTCCGATGTGCGCTGCCTCGGCGGCAGCGAGGAACTCTACACCATCCACCCCACGCCCCCGGCCGGCGACGGCGGGAGCGGCTCCCGGCCGCAGCGGCTACTGTGGCAGACGGCGGTGCGGCACATCACCGAGCAGCGCTTCATTCATGGGCACCGGGGCGGCGGCGGGAGCGGGGGCTCCGGCAAAGGCTCTGACCCTGCGGGCGGAGGCCCCAACCACCACGCCTCGCAGCTGTCCGGCGACTTGGCGCTCCCCCTGTATTCGCTGGGCACCTCGGAGAGAGCGCACGGTACCAGCGGCACCAAAGTCTTCCCTGAACGCAGCGGGAGCGGCAGCGCCAGCGGCAGCGGGGGAGGGGGCGACCTGGGGTTCCTGCACCTGGACTGCGCCCCCAGCAACTCGGATTTCTTCCTCAATGGGGGCTACAGCTACCGAGGGGTCATCTTCCCCACCCTGCGCAACTCCTTCAAGTCACGGGACCTGGAGCGCCTCTACCAGCGCTATTTCCTGGGCCAGAGGCGCAAATCCGAGGTGGTGATGAATGTGCTGGACGTGCTGACCAAGCTCACCCTCCTGGTTCTCCACCTGAGCCTGGCCTCGGCGCCCATGGACCCGCTGAAGGGCATCCTGCTGGGCTTCTTCACGGGCATCGAGGTGGTCATCTGCGCCCTGGTGGTGGTCAGGAAGGACACCACTTCGCACACGTACCTGCAGTACAGCGGCCTGGTCACCTGGGTGGCCATGACCACCCAGATCTTGGCCGCGGGCCTTGGGTACGGGCTCCTGGGTGACGGCATCGGCTACGTGCTCTTCACGCTGTTCGCCACCTATAGCATGCTGCCGCTGCCGCTCACCTGGGCCATCCTGGCCGGCCTGGGCACTTCGCTGCTGCAGGTGGTCCTCCAAGTGGTGATCCCCCGACTGGCGGTCATTGCCATCAACCAGGTAACTCTTGCCTGCCTCGCTCTTCCCCTGGGTGGTGTGGAAATAGCATTCCGAGAGGCAGGTGGCCTGCTCACTTGAGTCCCCGCCCTGGGGTGGGCCCAGGGCCTTGTACCTGGGAGGTCCTGGTCCTGGGTGTTACTGGGTGGCATTTCTCTTCCTAGAGGAATTGGAACTAAAACCTCTAAAGTTTCTGTCAACACCCTGCCCTCCCCCCCACCCCATTCTGATTCTGTGAGTATTTCATCCCTGACATCAGCCAGGAAGCCAGCGTCTTCCTACTCCGCACACCTCCCGGGGTCAGTAGTCTCTGGAGTAGGAGGCAGGGGGGAGGAGAAGCACCCAGTTGAGAAGGTGACCCATTTCCTCCCAGCTTGGCTCTGAGAGTCCCCGCAGGGAGTGCTAAGGGACTCTGGGATTCAGAGCTGGGTTGCTGTGTATCTTCGGGCCGCACATCCTCAATGCTCGGAGGAATCAATGTTTGCTAAGCACATACTAATTGCTAGTGCTGGAATCCGACTTCTGTCATCTCACCCCATACTGCAGACAATCCTATGACACGCATTTATCTGGAAATTCTTGATTGCTTTGGGGACCTACTGACGATGTCTTCTTTGCAGAAGCCACCCCAATACTCTGAATCAGTCAACCTTGGGAATTGGGGCCAAGGTGGGTGTCATTGACCAAGAAAGCAAGTTTTGCTTAATTGAAAAGGGGCATATTAATGCAGACGGTTTGAAATATTTAGATGGAACCTGACCCTTCAGGTCCCTTTCTCCCGCTTTATTCCGCTCTTTCCCTATTAAATATGGATGTGTTTAGTGAACAAAGTTCCCATTGTCTGTGAATGAGAAGGTAGACAGTGCCTCTATTGTTTCAGCTCATTAGAATCAATAGATAATTTATGGTCTGGCACTTTCTTTGCCAAATGTCTGGTGGTAACAGGAGACTGGGTTTGGGGGCTTCTGGATAAAGATGAGGGGAACACATCAGTGGAAGTGTTTTCCCATAGAAGGCTGGTGACAGGTGCTGGCCGCTCGGTGAGTCCCTGCTCTAGCCTCAGGCTCTGTGCCACTTCTGCTGTACCTGAAGCTTAAAAACTCCTCCTCCGTGTGCCCAGCTTTGAACAGATGGTTCATAAGATAAGCTGGTACAACACCTCTGAAAATTGCTCATGATTTGTAGAGCACTGGCACCGTGTGAGTGGTTGACCCATGGTTGACCTTCTGGGCTTCTGGCAGTTTAGGATTCTCTCCCTTCTCTGATGGCTCTGTCTGCATTGCTCAGGCTAGTCATCTGGTTGGCAGTGTTTACAGTGCTTTCTGAAGGCTCCCTGTGTAGAGCAACGAGTATGTAAAGTATGTGGCTATGGTCTTCAGGCATGAGATGGGGCCATGAGAGCCTCGGTTAGTAGGGGATGACCAGCTGAACTTTTCTAATTAAAGACAATAATGAAAGTTGTATCAAAATGACCAGGAACCTTAATACCTCCTTGTGATAAAGATTCAATTTTGAATTGTATAACATTATATTTTAACTGTGTTTCTCAATCCTGTTTGTACATGGATCTGAACTGAATCTCACGTTCTTCCAAGTTTTCTCATTATTTTTTTTTGCATTTTTGTTACCATACCTAACCATCAGATCTCTGTTCCCCCTCCTCCCTTTCCCCCTTCCCATCCTCTTCTTTTGTCCTCTCGTCTTTCTTTCCCCATCTCTTTTTTTCTCTATAGGTTGTTCTCACAATACAGCATAGCTATTTGGTCACGTGCAGAAAATTCCATTATAAGCTACTGCTTTTTCATACACTAGCCTTCCTAGGGACGCATTACCAAAAGATTTCATCCAGTCGGCTTGGAATAGTATTTGGAAAAACACATCCTAAGTGGCAAAAGATGAATATTTTCTAAGTTCTAAGTATAGAGACACTTTTCATGCCAAATGAATCCAGAAAGTAAATTTTGGCTCCATATTTGTTTTATATTCTACTCAAATACTACCAGATGGCAGGAGATTAAAAATAACCCCAACATGTCTTCCCACACCCACCTCATCATAAACAATCCTACACTGTGAAAGCCAAGGCCCTGGTACATGCAAACCAAGTTCATCAAACTTTCTGTTTAGGGAGGAGTTGTAGATGAACTACCATTTCTAAGTTGAGTCACCTTTCACCTAACAATCTGAGCGCTATCCTTCACTTTAGGTGCTGAAAGAGCCTTTGTGGCTTTGGCCACAAAACGTTTTCCTTTGGCGCCCTCTACAGGTCCAAGCTTCTTTCTTAGATCCTGCAGAGGGATGAAGATGAAGTGTAATCGCTTTAAAAATTAAAAATAAAAATCTGTGATTTTTGAATAGGCACTGTTTAGTTTTCCCTGCTTGGGTGTGGCAAAAGTAGGTTTACAGTTGTGAGTATGCGAAACACAGTTTATTCTTGTATCATTATTTATTAATTATTTTCCATAAGAACAACTATAAGCCTACTTTTGCCCCACCTTCTGCAAGGCACACTTAAAACCTGCCAACAGCCTCTCGTAGCAACTAGAATAAATCCTAACCCCTTACCATGGCCTCCTTGAGCCTCTGTGAGCTGGCTGCTGCTTCTCTACCTTTCTTTCTCTTCTCTTCTTCAGGTTCCAAATACTGTCCGCATTCTGTTCCTCCGATATCCCAAGCTCTTTCCCTCTTCCTAGCCTGCTGCCTAAAACCATTTTCCCAGGTCCTCACGTGACTGACGCATTCTCATTATGTCATTCACTCCCCAGTGCTTGGTGTGTCTTACTTTCTCCAGAGCACATCCACTATCTGAAATCATCTTACTTGTTTATGTGTATGGTGTTTCTTCCCCTGCCTCCACAACTGCCGGGGTCCAACCCCAGCGGGTCCAGGGGTTCCCAAAGGCGTAGACGGAGTCGGTGAAGAAGGAAGGACACGGAGACAGTGTTCAGTTGATCAGCAGCCTAGCCAGGATCCCCAGCCAGGATCTCCAGCCAAGTTCCGGTCTGGATCTCCAGCTAAGTTCCGGCTAGGATCTCCAGCCAGGTTCTGTGTCCATGTTCTCTTGCTAGGTTCTCCAGGTTCTCCAGCCAGGTTCTGTAGCCATGTTCCCTCGCTAGGTTCTCCAGCCAGGTTCTGTCCAAGTTCTCCAGCCAGGTTCAGTCACCAGGTTCTAGTCAGGTTCTCTTGCCAATTTCTGTAGTCAGGTTCAGTCCAGGATCTTTTGCCATGTTCTCTCGCTAGGTTCTGTCTCTAGGTTCTGAGGCCAGTTTCTGTCCAGGATCTTTTGCCATGTTCTCTCCAGCGAAGTTCTTCTGTCTCTAGAGAACGTTCTGTGTAGGTTCTGTGCCTCCTGGTTCTGTCTTCTCAGTTCTGTGTTCTAAGTTCTGACTCTTGCTGTCTTATTACATCTGTATTTATACCAGTTGATTCAATCCTATCAATCTCTATTACAAAGGTTAGGGTGTTTCTTATCTCCATTCCAGGGAGTAAAGATTATGTAGCTTAAGCATGATTGTTCGTAGTTAAAGTGATTAATTACCCGCCTGGCACTTAGTTAAGAGGTTTTATACCCTCCCTAACTTCAGGGGAAAATCCCTACCTGGGGAAACACCCTTTCTCAGAGACCTTGGTTAAAACACATAGTGCCAAGAAGGTGAGCAAACATATTAAGAACAGTATGCCATATATGCCAGGTCCCTTGAAACAGCAAGCATGGACCGGCTCCGGGCACACAACCTCAGGAGGTAAACACCACGTAAGGGCAAAGGCCTTGTCTGTCCTGTTTACTACTTGATCCTCAACACCTAGAAATCCCCGGCACATAGCAGGTACTCAACAGTCACTGAGTAACAAGGCTAGTCATCGCGCAGACAATATTATAAAACATCCAAGTCCCCTGACGTGTTGGTGAAGGCTTTCTACACACATGTAAGCTGTATCTATGTAAGACAGCCTTTTACACATAAATACCTTTGGAGAAATCAAAGCTCAAAACCAATTCTTTACTTTTATGCAATATTTCATATGTATCCAAGTGCCTTTACATACATGTTCACATCTAATGATGACAAACAGATGGGATCATCCTTCATTTTCGTTTCAGAGAAGAACTGCCTGATTCTTAGAAACTTTAAAGGGATGTCCCAAGGGTGAGGACCCGACAGGTGCTGAGTGCAGGACTGAAATCCTAGCGCCGGTGCCAGTCCTTCTTCGGGAACCTTTAGAGGTTGGTCTTCTGAACACCTAAGTGCCGAGATGGGTCAAGAGTGAGGGGCACCGGTTTCACCATTCAAGAGAGTCACACCCATACAACACCTGAATCAGCGTTTAGTGGGAAGGGCAAAGGGAAATGAATTGCTAGGAGTGGGCCCTTTGCCGCAAGCTCATGGTCATAGTTCTCAGCCGGATCAATTTTGACCACTGAAGGCCATAAATACTGCAGTGTCCTCTTCTTCTACACTAATTTCGATTCCTATGAACAGAACGGTCACATTTAACTTCGCATTTTCGAGAAGCACCAAGTGAGAACAAGTACACAGTCAGAAAACCTGAGCAGCTGTTTCACTTTCCTGAAGATGCCATTTCGAAAAGTAACCCATGAGCCAGCGATGGGCCTCCTTAATCCAAGCTATGAGGACCCCTTTCTCCCCTTTCTGTCCTGGAGGGAATCAGATCTGTGGCTTGGTAGGGTAATGACCAAGCTGTAAATCTCTGCAGATTCCCTGTGTGAAGGAGGCAGAGTCCTGTGTTCACTGAGATCAGCATGTGCTTTCCACTGAGGATACAAGAGGGGACCGAAAAGGGGCCACCCAGGAGGGGCCTCGCCATCAGCGAAGAGGTGGTTTGTGTTTTCTCCACTCAGTGAACAGAGAAGTTCACTCGTCATGGACTTCCCATCCAAACAAGAGACTGCTGTCCAGGGCAGACGTGATGACCCATATATTTTCTAGGTTCCAAGTGGCACTGGAAGTACTGAGGAAACCAGAAGGTTCAACGCCAAGTTT